AAAGAAAAGAAAAGAAAAGAAAAAGAATTTGCTGTTTCGGATGGAAGCAGTCCCGCAGCCCTTGAACCCCGAAGAAATGCAGGGAAAAGGGAAAAGATTTTCAGGGAAAGCGATCTCCCCCCGCCTGACAAGCACCCATCGGTCTCCCACAGCCCTTTTCCACAAAAACGGCTTTTGGAAGTATTATGTGAAAACCGATTATTCATAGCGCCGAAGGAAAAAAAAACCCAAACCTGACAGATCGTTTGCAAGCTGGAGGGCTCCGGTTTGGGGTTAAAGTCGCCGGTTTGACTCCCCTTTATGTCAGGAACTTTTCAAAGTGTGGGGGCACCCCACATCAGTCCTGTCCCTGCAGGGAAACGCTGCAGAAATCACAGCGAAAATTGGTGCTGTACAGACGTAGGAATGGGGAGACACAACAAATCAGAGTCAGGAGAAATTAAGAGGTTTACCAGGTTGTAACGAGAACTAGATTTTTTTTTATTTATTTATTTTAATTTAGAAAAGACCTTACGCAAAAAGCACTTTTTGAACTCGTTTGGCCGGCTGTGATGCGGTACTGGGGAGAGAGAATGAGAGAACAGCGACTGCAATGGTTATTGTACGGATGCTAAAATATTAGGGCTTCTTGGGATTTATTTTTTTTTTTTGCTAGTCTTAACGTAATTGGTATTTTTCTTCAGGGTCAATTTCCTGGGCCGATGTAAATATAACAAAATCTCCAATTCCACTAATAATAAAACAGTATTTCTGAAGAAAAGCTGAAAAATAGAAATCCCGAAGCCCTAAAACCAGAAGGTAAATTAAAAGAAAGCATGAGCAACATGCTGAAGAAAGAATTGGTGATAAACTTAGGATTTTTAAGCCGAACGGGAATGGCAGAAAGCATCTGCTCTTGGAGCTGCTCTGCCCTCCCCGTTCCCACCCTTGCACCGGGAGTCGTGTGATGCGATTGCTCAGGGTACCCCCAAGCAAGCCCTAACCCTGGTTTGCTCCGCTATGGCCAGCTGCGTAGGGCCTCAGTCGCTGCCTCGCGCTCACAACTATCGGCTCTATCGCATCGTTTTACGTGACCAAAAGTTCCTGAGTCCTGGGAGGACATCAGGACGCGTCCAGCGGGAGAGGACCGGATCTCTGCCCTGCATCCGCTCCTGCTGATGTCAGTACTGAAACAGCCGCTGACATCAGCGGGGAAGGGTGAGGCGTTGAAGCCGTAAAACATTCCCGAACTATTGCGGCTAGGCGCTGCCTGCGCCTTACCCAACTGGTAAGATACTCTGCTTGCTGGGAGTTTGCAAAATTGATTTGCACCGCGTCCAAGATCTTTGTGGGGTTTTTTTTAAGGCATGCTATACCAGCAGATCTAGCTTGGTTATACGGTTAATTTGGTGATGCTGATTGCACGTAAAGTCTGACCAGATCACATCCAGACAGTAGAGCGCTTGGAATTAAATGTAAATAGAGAAAAACAGAGCAAAAATGGATCCACATTCCCTACCTTCCTTTCCCAGTGACTTGGATAAGGAACAAAAATAAAGGCGGGAGGGGAAACCCCAACCTCTGGAAGAACATGGTAAGGAATGTGCAGCAGAGACATTCGGCTCTTAAATAGCGTTGGATGAAACCAGCATCTGTTTAGCACCAGGGCCGGCTGCTCCCGAGCACCGGTCCCACGCCAGAGCAGCTGGCGCCTCTTCGGTTTTGCTCTTGGTGTTGCTCCGGAGGAGCGGTGAGCCGGTGCTGAACAGCAATGTTTGTTACAGACCAGCGGCCTCGACAGCTTTCCTACCAGATTATGAAAGTGTTCATTGATTCGTTTCAGAAAGGAGAATGTTAAAGTGACATGTGCATTTAAAGTTTCTGGAGACACCTATAGTATTCAAGGGTATGTTTCCAATTGCATGGGAAGCCAAGTAAAATTAGTCAATTCCTGTGAGCAGGAAGGTGCAAAAAATTCTCCATCAGGCTGAATACATTTTTTTGTTCTTATATACAAGGCAAAAAGCTGCCTGTAATTTGCAGGAAAAATAGGAAAGTTGAAATAGCAATGGTGTACGTATCACAGGAGATGGGTAACGGTCGTATAGCGAGGCAGGTACCTGTATGCGTGGAGCTGAACTTCACGGTTGTCCCGGTCAAATGAACGGGATTAGGCACACTTGGATCTTGTTCTCAGACAAGTGCCAAGTAACAACAAGAAGTAATGTATGGACAGATCTTCCCATTTTCCAGGAGACGATTTTTGGAGCGGGTTTGTGCTTGGATGGACACCGGCAGCAGGGAGATGTGGAGCGGGAGCAGGAGTCCTCCAAGGGTTCCTCGGCTGCGAACATCAGGTAGCCCAGCCTGGACAATTTTCATTTTCCTTTTCAGGTGGGAGCTCCAGTTCTTCGCCGGTGACCTCCAGCGGTGGGACGCCCTCTCCCCTCAACCCCCTGCTCTCTCCATCCTGCTCACCTCCCACGTTTCACTTGACAGCGAGCAACATTGGCGTGTCGTGCCCCGAGACCTACCTACACAACCTCAACGTGCCCCTCTACTACAAGATTTGTCCTACGAGCTTCTTAAGACAGCAGCCTCTCATCTTTCCAAGCCACGAAAAACTGGGAGGCACCAGCCCGCATCTTTTACCCCACTTCATGGTGGATATGCCAAAACTATCCTCCCTCGGCATAACCGGTCTGAAAAACACTAAAGCCGAAGACTTAAACGGGCAATGTCTACAAGTACCCAATTCTACTGGTCAAATGCTGTATGGATTACATGCATCTGGAAACATTTTCCCATCAAGTCCCATTGCTCGGGAAGCACTTAATTGTTCTTTACATCCTCCATATGGCTTGTATAGTTATAACTTCTCTGTGCCATCTAGACTGATGAATGCAGCAAGCCATTTCAAAGTGAGTGACAGCGTTCCGGCTTCTTTGAGAGATGGCAGATGTAATCACTCTAACTGGCACCCGACAATTAACCATTGCCTTTAGTGGAATTATATACGTTTCTAAGCATTGATATGTAAAGCAAGCCTTTCCTTCCTTCATACCCAAGGGCTTGCTAGTTACTGACTATGAAATACTGCATGGTACAGGAGCGGTATGGCTAAGCATTTAACTTTTTTTGTGGGTAAACACGTCGTGTTGTTGGGAGGATGGAGGATCTGGAAGCGTGGAGCATCTGAGATGATCCACAGCAAGGTGATACCTTTCGGTAACATTTATGTCATGGTTGTAGGTTAAGAGCAAACTGTACAGTCACCTTTTTAATATTTGCACTCCGAAGTGGGAACGTAGACGTATACATCTCTACAAGTATGTTTTCCTGAAACTCTCTATCTAGCTTGCCTTTAGGTGGCCCAAAGCCCTGGTGAGATCCTGCTCACCCCACGCAAGTTTTTCTGCTAATTTTGAAGGAACTATTCGAGACCTTGAGTGAGCAAAGGACCCATATTTGGCCAAGTGCTTGAGCGTGTTCTCAAGTTCCTTTGCCTTCAATGGGTCCTAATCAATGATGTGAAAGTGCCTTGTTCTCCAGGGCCCAGACGACTCAGTTATCAGAGTGGGGACATAGAGCCAAGCATTTGCTGCCGAGGTGAAGACAAACAGGACAAAAGATGGATGTGTTCCTATCTTGTGGGGATGAGAAAGCGGAGCCTGACGCAGAGATGCCCCAAGAGCCCTCCTCTCCATGCTCCTGCCCCTGGAGATCTCCAGGAGACGGTAGAGCAGAGTGGCACCAGCCTTGACGACGTGGTGGGAAGGAACAGGGGATGGAGGGGTCACACATCCGTCCCACGGTGAGATGGATCCATGTTGGGGAACCTGGAGGATCCATCTCAGAGAGCTGTGTGGGATGAAACACCTCCGGGAGCCTCCCAAGTCACTGCTCCTACCCAGCGCTTTCAGTCCCAGGGGACACGGAAGATCCGCCTGGGATCGCATCCGCCAGCCTGTGCCCGAGAGAAGGGGCAGGGATGCTCGGTCCCATGGAGAACGCAGACCCTTTCTGGAGAGTTACAACTCTACTAGCCCCAAAACATGAGATTTTCAATTCCTTCCAAAAGTCCTGTTTGTTTTATTATAACCTGTGGATATTCTTGTTATTCCTGTAAATAGTCTCTAGCTCCCAAGGGCCCAGTGTAACCCACAATAAATTGGGGCACAGGTTTTATTCTTTATTTGACTGATGCTCAGTCCCTACCTAGAGCCACAATTATTACTTGATAGATGGCAGAGATTTGGAAATAATGCTTGACTGGGATCGGCCGCATTTTGGGATTAAGGTAAGAGAATCCTGTATTTACAAACACAACACAGCACTATATAGGGATTAAGTGCAGGTTTAAGAATTAAAATTGGTATCAGAGTTTTGCTTTTGTTTTCACACATAACATGCAACAAATGAAGAACAGAACAAGCAATATCAAAAGCTGTCAAAATAACAAAAAAAATCACACTTTTACTTTCATGAGACTTTACTAAAAATCAGACAACATTGGTTTCCCTAATTTACCCGCTTTGAGTGTTCACAGAGCCCCCAGCGATACCAGTACGAAGCAGTGGGCCGTGCTTGCCTTCCTAAATGGTCTGTATGACTGTAAAAATGAACAAATCTGCTTTCTCGCTCTGTTTCTTAGCAGTTTCTCTCACTATTTTTATTAAAAAAACCCCAACAAACCAACTTTTTTTTTTTTTTTTCATTTGGGAGTCCTTATTTCCAAGCCATCCCTCATCACCGGTGGAGGCCGAGCCCCCGCGGGCGCTGGGACAGGCTCTGCAAGGGGCTGCAGATCCCTGCTCCCCGTGGGCTGAGTGGCCGCGTACCGGCCCCCACATGTGGTTATACTTTTGGGGAGCTGGAAGGCCCTTCCAGATCAGTCACGGATTTGTGGGTGGATGCGATGGGTAACTTCCAATTTTCCAAATATTTGCGGTTGCACAAGATATTCCAGAGTCGTTGGCCATGAGCTGACGATCCAACAGATCAGTGTTTGTCTAGTTAAAAATGTGACCGATAATGACTAGAATAGATGTTTTCAGTATGGACCATTTTACAGCGATAGATATTTAAACCGAGATCAGACAAATTCCATCTACTGCGGCTGAGCGAACGCTCTCTTTGACGAGACCCACCTCATTCCTACTCAGAGCGTGTTTGCAAACGGGCACGGGGCTTCCCCGAGTCGCCTGTTCATTCTCTGCCTTTTGGCATGAAACCACAAACCGGGGATGTGGGCGATACGCTCCAGCAACTATGCTCAGCTCATTCCAGTGGAACTGGGTTGGGTTTCGATGCGTCTACGTGGGTTCCGTAGGAGCTCGGGTTTTGCCACCCTCCCCAGTCATGGCCACATGGAAAACAGCCCCAGAGCCTGGTCCCTGCAAGGTACACGCGTGTCCCTTGGGTGCCAGCACCCGCTCTGGGAAGGATGCGGTGCTCATCAGCGTGGGTGAGGCAGACGTGTAAAGACCAATTTGCTCCATACGAGAGGTCAGCGTGGCGTGAGAGACACTGTCAGATCTGCGTTACCTGAGGTTAATTTCTCCGAGTTCCTTCGCCTTCATATCCGGATTTTATCCTTTCAAAAATCCCTGTAACAACTGCAAAAGGTGTCGGTGGTGTTTTCAGGCAGTTGTAGCTCTCTGTCCTGATGTTCCCGTGGTCACCTCAGACCCGGCCAAGGCTCCCCAACCATCCCGGCGTGGGAGCGCGTTCCGTACCCTCAGTGGTAATTCAGTCGGATCGCTTCACGCTCTGACACAGACGGTGCTGCTCATATGAGAAAAACTGTGCCCAAAATAGTGGATAACCTGCACTCGGCCTCCGTAAAACGGCTGCCGGTGAGAGGCAAGCGGCAGAACTCGGGAGAGTAAGTCAGTATAATAAATCATCAGTTATTAAACCTATAACTGGGGGAATCGAGGTCAATATTTTGAGCGGGACCGCGTGCCTGTAAATACAAATCCGTTACGCGCTGCTTGGTACTTCCTCCCGTTAACGTTATTTGAAAACCTGTGGCAATTGCACAAGTTTGCAGTTCTTTAGACTTGGTGAGTGAATACAAACACAAACCCAGCATTATGGTGCTATTTTTAAATGGGAACAGGGAGAAAATAATCAAAGGGTTTTTGTTTTGGTTTTTTTTTAAAGATTAAACTTGCTGAACAATCTTAGCTATTAGTCATTTGAACTTTCCCAAGAGGAGTTTGAAGTTACTCGGGAATATCGGATCCCATTTATAGCACTTGGCAAATAAAACTGGCCGTACCAAAGGCGCCGCGTCCGCACTGGATGCTGGGACACGGGATGGGCTCAGTGCTCAGACACCGGGAGGGTGATTTAAAAACCAAGGAGACAAAGAAAAACCCCAGCGATAATGTTTTTAATCAAGGCGCAGTTTACTCTCCAGTTTCACCCAAATTTAATACATCTATTGGAGAAGCCAAACGTGTAGAAGGAGTGTGGGATGTAGCTTTTTCTGATCGAAGTGCCTGGGTTCACATTTGATCTTCTGAGGTTTGGTCTGTAATTAGATGCTAATTTGTATCACAATTATGCAAAACAAACGAGGATTGGATAACAGGAGAGACCAGAACAAATAAGCACCCGGAACATTTGAAATGCATCCAGTATTAAAACGACGTACATGTGTGGCTGGGGCCAGGGGGGACATGCTGTTCCAATAAAGCTGCAGAAAGGGAAAAGGCCGGTATCGGTTCCTACAAACGTTTCAAATGCTCATGTTTACAAATTTGTATTGCACATTAATATGTAAACACGCACGATTGGAAACAGATGACGCTGCAATATTTACGTGTCCTCTCTTCTTAGTTTTGGGTGTCTGGCTCCAAGAATACACAAAATACGCAGTGACTTTTTTAAAACATGGCTCAGAAAGACAAAAAAGAGGTACAGCATCTGAAGGCATAATTTGAAAATCACCGACGCCGTGGCGGCCCTCCCAGCCCCGGGATGTATTTTGGGTACCAGGCGCAGGGGGATGCATCCCCCGGCTTCCTCCGGGGTTGTGCTGCGAGCGCTCGATGGCTGGAGCCACACTTTGTAGTGTCACAGGTGGTACCTCATCCCTTGGCCTTTACACGGTGAACGTATTTCACAATTTTCCGTATCACCCTGTCACTGGGAGGCACCGGAGCCACGGCCAGTGGCCACGGCAGGCGGCGCCCCCACCCACGCCGGCTCAGCAGCCTCTGTGCTCCGCCGATGCTTCAGCCAGAGCGCGCTGGAAAAAAACAGCTTTTAAAACAGAAAGGGTTATTTTTTTGTAAAGTAATTTTGAAAAGGAAAAGAAAGAACATCTTCCTTGCAACGAGAATAAAAGGTTGCCACTTGTTAATCATCTTTTCTTTCACCTCTCGATTTGCATGCTAGGATGCAAGCCCCGAGTACATCTTTCTGTGCTCGGCTGTGTCCAGGCAAACCTCAGTCTCCCGGCCCCCGTGGAGTTAAACCGGTGTCGGACAGCCTGGATGCAGCAATCGAGGCCGTTGGGAATTACACTGGCTGCAAGGACTTTTGCAGATGTTGGGTATTGCCCTGCAAGCTGTTCGTGCTTAATAGGGCTCTGCTCTCACTGAGCTCGTGCAGTTTCTGAATTTTATAGTTATTTATAAACCCACTTCTGCTCTGTGTCCCTTCGGTGACATTCACAAGAAGGACCTACTGTCTACTTCCATATATCAAACAATTTCCTTCCAGATTGCTTATCCTAAAGCACCAAGTTTTAAGTTTATTGTAGCAATTAAGTACGAGAAGTAGTCCAAGTTTTGTGAAGGACCCCTTGAGCTTGTAAATCAAATGACAGAAACCAGCAAGTAAAATTCAAGACCTTTCTGGAGAGGAAAACACCAGCGATAAGGGAGAACCCCCAGGACAAATCGCATTTGCTGTCTAAGGAGGCAGATCCTGAACAAAGGCAGAGAGAGGGGCAGGGGCTCAGGATGGCTTCCAGCTCTCTGAAGTCTGA